CTTGCCCAACGGTTCCTCCATATTTAATCTATTTATGTCTGACCTGTACCTTGTGACAATTAGGTCAAGCAGCGAGGGACGCTGTTGTCCTCGATATCTCGTTGCTTTGTAACATGTGAGAGGGCTCTTTCCTATAGCCACTTCAGCAGCCGTTCCCCTTGAGACAATGCGGTTGTGGATCCATGTGCCTAGGATACCTCCGGGAAGTTGAAGTCACCTATCAGGAGAAACCTCTGATAGCTAGCCAGGGTTTCTTGCATAACCCGCAAAAGTTCTGTATCTTCCCAGGGAGTCGCAAGAGGGTAAGCGCGCGGCATCCAAAAGCGGCTTTATTAAAAAATTCAAGGTCATTTGAAAGATCCCTATTCTGCAAACCATGAAAAATTTCCTACTAGGGACCACTGTCGCTCAAAAAGTATTTCGCTTATTAAAGACCCTAAACATAACCCCGGTTTCAAGACCGCAGCCAACAACCAAAAATTAAACGGAAATTTATTTTACATGAAAAAATAAAATAATTATTCATTACTATGTATGAACGAGTTCTCGGGAGGGAAATGTACCCTCACTAAATGTATGAGAAATTCACCTTTCATATAACTGTTGAAAGCAATTCTAAATAGTATTCTGAAACTTTCAGTCTGAGATCATCGACGAATACGAAGTAAAACTGACTTTCACCACAGGGGTCTGTGATTACTTCGTCGGCAATACTACGGATGAACCTCTTGGGTATTGCATGAAACCCTTCAAACCGCGTGTCGTGTACTAATTCGTTAATTCTCGTGAAGTAGCCACTTCACAAGCACTGATGATGTCACCTCGGCTGGTGATGAAACGTTTGCAAACAAATAATTCCAAGCTCGGCGAACAGGCAAAATGGAATTCAGTTCACCCGAGCTACGAAAACCGATTTTCAATATTTTGTCAAGTAGGTAATGCCCCACAAAATCCGATCTCAGATGGAATCTATACCAATATCTTGGTCCCTGAACAGAATTCATAACTGAAAGAGAAATTAATGAGATTGGCGTGGCCGTTTTCAGTCCTTTTTGGCTTTTGACGTCCATTCTCATAGACTGAGGCAATGAACACAAATGAATGATTCCTCTCCACTGTAAGCAGCGCAACTGGTGTGTAATCGTTGCCCGTATTTCTGGCACTGGATCCATTGTTGCTCATCGTCCAAATCGACCGTATTCCACGCAGATTTTGCAGACACTGCAACAGTTGGTCTTCATCGGTCATGCCGGATTGGTTTGCCTTCTGCGTTTGCGTCCAGTTTGTACTTTGCTGACGTCGTTGGTGTCAGTCTTCGGAACACAGCATGCTCCACTGAGTCACCTAGGACTATTTCGTGGTCCTCACTGTCGACTGATTTACGCACTAAAACTGATTTCCGCTTTTCAGTCGAACCGCTTGTTGAAGCTACTGGTGGATTATTGGCTCTCGCCTTAACGCTCGTAGACAGAAGACAGGTACGCTTAATCTCCGTAGTTTGTGTTGCCAAGCTCTGTCTATCGAATAATATCTGGATGTACGGGTACTTCTCTATCATAGCTGCTACACGTCGAAGTTGATTGCATTGAAAATTGTAATTCACCGTACCTAAACTATTCAAAGAGACGCCCATCTCTTGGAGGACATCCTCTGTTTGATCTAACTTTGATGGCTTACTGTGGTGATCCAGACCTCCGTGACCGCAATCAATGCACGACGAGGTACAGTTTCATGTCATCCCATCACCGTTCAGGAAGCTTGACCAATGGTACACTGGGCGAACGTGACATCCGGGTTAGTACATATGATGCGTCGGCGCAAACGGTTACGTAATTGGACGACGGCACTTCAACCAATCATATGAGCTATTACCTTCCATAAAATATGATCTTATTCTATCAATAAAAATAAGCATTTGCTCCTCTCAATTCCTCGTGTATTTCATTGGTGTCCGAAGTTCGGGTTGGAGCCAATTCAGTTCTGAGTAGTACAGTACGGATTCTCGTATTCCTAAATTCAATACTATTCCGATTATTGTAATTTGGCGTTGCGCAATGGAGATTCCTATCATTGAACCACTGAACCTGCACGGAAGCCCATCAGAAATCGAAGAGTGGGTAGAACGTTTCGAATTGTGGTGCAGCATCCGGAAAGGAGGAATGCAAAATCAGTCGGTCCTATTTTTGACGTTGGGCGGCCGAGA